ATGAGGTGGACTGATTCAGTGACTGGGGTAATCGGAGTGGGGTGTGTCAGAGGCAGTGTGATTGGCACAGAATAGAGCAGGGTTTAGGGCTGTTGTCGCAAACGACTTGACGGCACATAACAACAACAAGAACAGCCTTCCTAACATTTGATCCATTTCTCGGACACTGTTTTAGGTTTCTGTGCGACACTGCAGAAAATTACTCTGCCCAAAGGCAAAGGTGGGAGCAGAGGGACAAAGAGAAGAGGCGTAATTGATGTTAGAGATGATAGGCTGGTACAGCAGTCTGGAAAAATTGGATATTTGGAACATCTTCTTTTTTTGTTTTGTTTTGGTTTTTTTTGTTATTGTTGTTTGGGAGGGGGAACATCTTTAACCTCCACCTTACAAGTAACCAGCTTTGTACTGTTGTTGCTGATTGCCTTCGAGTCAAGCACAACTCATAGTGACCCTATGAACAAAAGGCCTGAAGCCCCTCTACCACTACCGACATTTATCAAAGTTCATAGAGTTCCCAGAGGCATGTTGTTCAGGAAGTGGATGCCATTCATGCTTTGAGTCACCTGTGATGCATAGTGACCCTGTGTACGTACAGCAGCTCTGAACCCTTCCCTGTACTAATCATTCTAAAATAAATTATTTGTACAGGAACCATTTCTGGCTACAGCTGGGTAACATTTCAAAGAGAGAACACAGAAAAGGATTTCATCTAAGGCTAATGTAGCTTGATTTTTTTTTAAAGTAGTACAAAGTAGCTATGGAAGTTCATGGATCATGCATTTGAATGAGGCAATGGGAAACGGGTGCTGCAAGAGAGTACTGCTGAATCTCACAAAGCCCTGAGAAAGACGGGCACCAGGGCGAAGGGGGAAACAAGAGCAAAAGGGCAAAGGAAATAGTTCTGACTGACAGGAAGACACCTAGTGAGACATGGTGTGAGCCTGTGCAAGGGGACATCTGTGAGTGAAAGACCTGGAGGAATCCCTCTGCCTTCACCACAGGAAAAGCAAGCCACAGTGCTTACATTGTTGTTGGTACATGTCACTGAGGCAGAACCAACACACAGCTGACCCTCTAGAGGGTTTTCAGAGACTGTAAATCACATGAGAGGAGCTTGCTCATCTTTCTGCCACTGAGCAGCTGGTGTATTCGAACCATGTGCCTTTGAGTTGGCAGCACAACTCCTTACCCACTAGACCATGTGAGTGCCCTCTGCTTACATTGGTATCTGCATATAGTTAAACCTTCCCTCCCATGATGAGTATGGAATCCTAAAAATCAACTCCTAAAAATATAACTGACATAAAATATAAAAGTATGTGGTTGCCACTGTTATGTGCCATCGAGTCACTTGTGAGTCATAGCAACCCTATGTGTACTGACATAAATTATAAAAATATAACCTACAAATATACATATATCCTACAAGAGTCCTGAGGTGGAGTGGGATGTGGGGGTGAGTAAACAATTAAAAAACCCAAGAATAAAAGTGTCCTTTAATGGTTCTTAGAAGATACCAATCCTATTGCCACTGGGTCACTTAAAACTTATAGTCCACGTTGTAAAGCTTATTAGAGCTACCCCGTGGAGTTCCCAGGGCTGTGAGTCTTTGCAAAGGCAAGACGTTATACCTTTGTCCCATAGAGTGGGTGTAAGACTGGATCTTTCTGTTGGCAGCCAAGCACTTATTCCCTGCACCACAAGAGCATTCAATTGGAAAATTTTCCCATTGAAAACAACATAAAATTTAAAGGTGAAGAAAAATTTTTGAAATAAAATGGTCTAATTCAACAAAGATAGTAACACACAAATCACCTATAAAAATACCAGTCAAAAAGCAAAATATGGAAAAGGAGAAAATTTTACTATTGGAGGCCAGAATAATACAAAGAATTTATATCTTCAGACTGTGGTGCTAAATGTGTTTAAAGAAAGCAAAAAGCTCACAAAACAAGCTAGTGTTAATGAGGAAACCGATAGAAGAGCAAAAGGAGGATCAAGCTAAACATTTAAAACATAAACAGAGAGAGAGAACTACCAGAACTGGAGAGTAAAACCAATGAAATGGGGGTGGGGGGAAGGAGAAACAGAAGAGAACATGAACTAAAGGACAAAGTAATGGAGCGTATCAAGGGTTAAGAGAAAACAACAAAGAAAAGTGAATAAACTTGAAAGAAACATGGTATCCAAAGACATCTATCAATAGAAACATTGGAATCCCAGACCACCATGACAATAAAGGCATAGAAACAATGCTCAAAGAAATTATCAGAATTTCCCAGAGCTGAAAAGAGAATCAAACCTGCAAATACAGGAAGCTACATGAGCTCTAACTAAAAGAAACAAAAAGAGATCAAATGCACAACACATTATAATGAAATTCCTGAAAACCAAAGACAAGGAGAGATATTTGAAAGCAGCAAGACAGAAACACAATCTAACATACAAAGGGCTTTCATAAGAATCACTGTTATTTTTCTTCCATAAATCCTAGCAGCCAAAAGACGGTGAAGCACCATATATAAAACACTGAAAGAAAACAATGGCCATTCCAGAATTCATTACTCAGCAAATTAGTCACTCAAAATGAGGGAAGAACCAATGGGGGAAAACCTAAAAGCAAAAACAAAGAAATTTGGGATTTCGCTGCAGTAGGCAAGTTTTGCAAATACTAACCAAGAGAATTCTCCAAATGGAAAGACATGAACATTATATTTAAAAATTAACTAAAGAACTTTTACAAACAGCAGGCAGAAGAAGGTGTTCTCTTATGTTTACACGGTTTAAAATTATGACTGTCCCATTTCACAATGGCCTCAAATACTCCTCTCTTCAATGTTTTGTTCTCAAGAGCCAGTGTACTCCAAATTTAAGGACTAAATGTCACAAAATTCAAGGCTAGAAATTATCTTTGAAAGTGTGCTTATCCCGAGCACATGTTAAGCTACCTAGAATTGTTCCACCTCATCTGACAGCAGGGATTAAGCAGGAAAAGAACATTTCATTTTACATTTTAAAGTTACTGTTTAAAAAAACCCTGCAAGTCTGTGCCATAGCTAAGGATCTGGGTAACTGAACAGCCCAGATAATATGGAGGTTTCTTATCTAGTTCAGTTAAAAACCATCCTTTATGAAAACCAATTTTCTTTTTAATGTAATTTACCAACCTAGTACAAGTGTCCTAATATATGTATGTAAACTTGCAAAATGGCTTAGTCTGTGTATTTAGAAAATACACAAGAATTTTTATCAAGTCAGAAAGTATAGACTCATGAGCACTAAAAAAAAAAAATTAACTAAAAAATAAGAGAGTGAAAGATCTCTAAAACATACAAGAGACTATTATAAGGATCAAGTA